CCATATATATGTATTAGCTCAGCGCTACACATTCTCCTCTCGTCACTGAGGTCCTCCATCCACATGACAGAGAGGGGAACACAAAAATGAGTCAGCTGTAACTGAAAATATGGATGGAGGACCTCAGTTTAGCTTGTTTGTCGCGCTAGCGCCGAGCTAATACATAAAAGGCAAAATAGCGTTGGCGCTAGCGCAAAAGCTAACAGGGTAAGCTGAGGTTCTCTTCCATGAAGCAGCTCTGTTGTCCTCCATTCATATTTTCAGTTACAGGCTGAATCATTTCTACCTTCTCCTCTCTGTCAACGCTCTCTGGTTTCATTTAAAAGAGTCGATCATCAGATATTGKCCAAGATTAACCTTCAGGGTGGATATAGCTCACTAGCAGCCTCGCACTGAGGACCTAGTTGATGTCATCAGTTACCCAGAATACTTTGCGTGTAAATAAAATGGCTCCATCCATGTTAAAATATATTTTTAAAAATTTACAAAACTAAACAGCCTACAATATTTTTACAGTCTTTATTTTACAGTTAAAATAAATGTTTAAAGTTTAATGTTACAACTAATCGTGGACCCCTTTAATAACTTACTTGCTGAGTTAAAGCTTTGGATCAAAGGTTGGTTTGGTTGGACCAATTAGAGCCAAGTTTGACCCATTGGTTTGGTCAGACATGGGCAGTGTCATTCTTCAGTGTCTGCCATTTTAACCAGAAGTTACCTAATCAGACCTGACTGGACCTCTGATTTAGAACGTATAGCTAATTTAAAAAAACCAAGATTTAAGAAGATAAGATTGGCTTTGTTAAGAACTTTAGTTTGCACTGAATGGTGAGTTTACTAAAGTAACATTAGTGGTGCCCACAAGCTGACACAAATATATAAGTGTCTCTTTTGGGGAGGTCAAGAACTGAACACGGTATGTTGTGTCAAACTCTTAATCCAACACGGCTAACTTAAAACTATAGTTGGTTCAGTTCAAACTTAACCAAGCATTGGTTTAGTTTGAGTTGTTTTTAACCCAACAGTTTTTAGTGTGCAAAGGGCAGCAGCACGTGATACAGGTTAGTTTTCACGGGTCTAAAAAATGTTTTATGTGCAGAATTTGAGATGGTTAGGTCACCCTTTGTTTTCATTTTCGAGGAAAAGATGTTGAGCTCAGATTTAATGGAAGTCAGTGAGAGCTTGGATGTGAGCACTCTGCATTGTGAGGAAATCTGAGGGTAACAGTAGGTCCTGCAGCAGGTTTTGTCAAAAATATCCTTATTATGGGGAGGATTTTAGCATTTTTTTCGTAACTTTGTCTACATCACACAATGTACTGCAACCAAAAGAGACAGCACTCCATTTCTGATCCAGCTTCACATTCTGATGAAATGTTTTGGGTGGGTTGACTACAGCTGCACGAAGATATAAATAATTGTTAGAAATGTCAGAGTAAACTGTGACTAATCTAATGATTTGTACCATAAACGCATCAAAAGAGTATTTTTCATTTAAAATGGAAATATGCTGGTTAACATGAAATTACAGAGGCTGATGGCCTCAAATCCCCTCTTTTTTTTTAAATAAAACACATGTACTTTTACTAAGAATGGAATTTTTAAGAAAATATTTAGTTTTTGTAGAAACTATTACCAAATTCTACAATTTTCAGGATTGCACCAGTAATTTAACTGTAAAGGATACAGAAGTGTGTGGTTTTTTTTATTTAAACCCCCCCCCCCCCTTTTTTTTCTTCATTAAGTCAAACTAGTTTAACTTTCCAGAATGTTTTGACCTTCATGAAAGATTATGGAAACGGTTCATAAGAGCTTTGACCTTTTTTTTTCCATTTTGTGTCACAACAGCCTCAGGGTAACTGTTGGTCATCTCGTTTTCTGATAAGCTCAAATGTCAACAGAAAGAGAAGACTTCAGATATTCAAAGAGCCTCTACATATTTCTTAAATCTAACAGCCTGGGTTAATGTCTGAACATGGATTAAAATGTCTTTATAATCAGATTTCTGAGTTTGCTAAATAAAGAATAAAAAGTAAATTTTGAAAGCCTTCATTCTGCCTGTCAGAAAACKATCTGCTTGATGTGTCTTGACTTCTAGTCTAGTTGTTTAAAATGTGGGAATGTTTTGACTTTTGTTTGTCTCTTATTATTATTACTGTTGTTTATTTTCCATGCATCTGTTTCGCTAAGATTAGAAAAACTCCCATTTTATTCTGCATTCATTGGGCCTCATGCAAGAACATGTTCGTATTCTTATCCTAAATTTCTCTTACTTTTGTTCGTACAAAGGG